TAACTAGGAGTAGAACTTCTGGATCTCTTAGTTCTCTCTATATGCAATTTTTATGTGGTATTTTATTTTAGACAAAATCTCACTAAGTTGCCTGGGCTGGGCTTGAACTTGAGATCCTCCTGCCTTCACCTCCCATGTAACTGAGATTACAGGCATGTGTCACTATACCTGGCTCTGTAATTTTTTGAGAAATCCCCACACCGTTTTCCATGGTGGCTGCATAGTTTTACATTCCCACCTGAAATGTATGAAGTTCCAATTTCTCACATCCTTGTCAACATTTCCTTCCTTTCTTCATTCCTTCCTCCCTGTTAAAGGAATAGGAGGGATGGTTGGACAAAGGAGTGCGTGAGAGGTGAGGATAATTTGACCTTGTCTGGGGCGAAGTCACACAAAGTGTCCTGAAAAAGGAGATCTTCTGTCCACATAAGGAATGACTTGAAGGTGGGGAGGCCTGAGGGTGGAACCAAGAAAGATCAAGGTGGACCGAATGAAGAAAGTGAATAAAGCTGCAGGATATATAGGCAGGCTGTGACCATTCAGGTGTCTTCTGGAATTTGAGTCAGTCTGAAGAAAGTAGGGGAGATTACTTGTGATTTTCACAAGGAAGTCAGGTGAGTTAGCAGGAAACAACTTCACCTAGGAGCGCTGTACCTGGGAGGGTCCTGTAGAAGGACCACCACTGGGGTGCTATAGATGACCAAGAAGAGTCCTGTCTACCTAGTATCAGGAATCCCAGCAAAGACCTTGATCTCCTGTTTGATGTTACAACCCAAGGCTGCAAAGAAAAAATCGGAGACAAAATAAAAGTGAAACAGGGAACTGGGATGGTCAGTGCTTGAGACAGCAAAGACCTCAAACCAGCCAGGTCCACAGTATTTATTGGTTGTACAATCTACAGAATGGGATAAGGAGATCATTTGCTGTTTCTGGAAATAATATGCTGACACAGGCAGGGCTTGTAAAGGAGGGAACAAAACATAACTGTATCAAGATCAGAAGAGACCAGGAATAGGTCGTGGTTAGTGAGTAGCTCATTTTTCAAGTAAAATAAACTACATTTTTGGAAAAGAATTTGGGAAGTGTCACTTGTCCTCAGGTGCCATGTTATCTCATGTCAGAGCCCCATGGGTTTCATGGGCCGTATTTCTGATCTCTGCTGTGGCCGTTGGCAGGGAGCTAATGCTAATCTGCCCACCATTTGAAGTGCTCTTATGAATCACATAGTAGGCTTCAGTTTGACTCACTACTTAGAACAAGCAAATTGTGGGATTAACTCTTCACAGTCCACACTGCTTACAGCCTTCTCTGGGCATGATCAATAGGGTGGTTTCCCACACGTAGGCTGTAGGGTCCAAAAGTTGAAGTCTTTAATTAGGAAAATTTATTAGTCAAGGGATCTTCATAAGACTGGGTGTTAGGAGAAGGCAGGAGAAGGTTAACAGTGTATCATATCTCTTTTTGGGCTTGTTGCAGAACTAAGAGATAGTCTCTAAGGGGGCTGGCCTCTAAGCAATTGGGAGCAGGGGAATTCAGTCTTTATAGGGCTGGAGTGTGAACTTAGGTGGGCTTTGAGGAGGCCATTATCTCTATCTTTTTTGGTGGTTGAAGCTGGAAGGGGGTTTTACTGGACACCAAGCAACTTGGACACCTCCTGGGTAATTTGACTAATGAGAACTGGGCCATTGTCTGATTGAATGGAGCTGAGAAGGACAACCCATGGGATGATATTGGCTAGGAGGGAACTGACAACAGCAGAGGCCTTCTCTGAGCCTGTGGGAAAGGCCTCTACCCATCCAGTAAAGGTATCAACCTAAACCAGGAAATATCTTAACTTTTTGCACCCATAGCATGTAAGTGAAATTAATTTACCAGCGCTGAGCTGGAGAAAAGTCTCACTGATGTGTAGGAAAAGGAAGGTTAGAGTTAGGAGGTTGCATCTGATCAGCAGGAGGCTCTGGGGGAAGGGGACAAGTGGCTTTGGTGCCTGGAGCAGGAGGCTTGGCAGGGGGCTGCTTGGGGGAATGAGGTCAGTTGGATCTATTGTCAGGCAGAAGTCAGCATCGGTGGATGGAGTTCAGGGAATAGAGAAAGAAGAAGAATTGGGGAGGAGTCGCAGGTGGAGTACAGGGTGGGAAGGTTATGGAGTATAAATAATGCCTGGACATAGGGTATCTCAGCAGATCAGTGGAAGGGTAGAGAGGTTTAAGGTTTTTGAGGAGACAAGCTAGAGGGAAGGATAGGGGAATAGAAGGAGTGTTTCCCACAGGAGCAGAGAGAGGTCATTGTCACACCTTGTGTGTCCAAATGAAAGTGGCAATACGGTCCAAAATGGACATTTCCAGCTGGGACTCAGGGCCATAATGGAGCAAGGATGAGTGGCCAAGGCAGGCGCTGGTCAACACTGGGTTTAAATGGCATGGAAAGTAAGATGAGCCTCTCTCCCTGGGCAGAAGGGTGAAAATGCAGCAGGGGGCAGGGAGAAGGTGTGCGTGGTGGGAGGAAGACCTGAGTCCCTGAAGATTATGGGATTAGTAGAGGGTGAGAGGGGTATGTCTAGTGATCGGGACATTTCTAAGAGTAACAGATCCCTTTTAAGAGGTGAAAAAATAAGTGAGGAAAGGTCTTGTGATCTAAGGGGTCAGTGGGGTCTTCCTTTATGAATTTGTAGAGGGATTTAGCGAGGAGAGCAAAGCCGGAACAGAGAGGCTTCAGAAGTATCCTGTTACATGGAAAAAGGAGAGGAGTTGTTGTTTGGGGGGCGGGGCGGTTAGGCATCACAGAGCATATGGGAGGGAAATCTGGTTGATAGTGTAGAGATCTTATCCTAGTTTGTGAGAGCCATCTGCCTTTCGTATCAGGAGAATGGGAGTGTTCTAAAGGGAGTCTGGGATTCAGAGACCATGTCACAGAAGGTGAGAAGTAATAGGTTGTAGTCCCTGTAAAGCTGGGTCAGGGATGGGATATGGTCATTGAGCAGGGCAGTGGTTAGGCTTGAGAAGGATGGTAAGTGGTTGTGGAATGAAGCCAGGGGTAGGGTGGAAGTCCCAGACTTTGGGGTTGAAATGAGGGGAAATGACGGGAGCTGTAGAGGGGGCAGGGAAGGAGTTATTAGGGTGGCTGTAAGTGCTGGTTGCATCCTGGGGATGGTCAGAGTAGCTGACAACTTGGTTAAAATACCACGCCCAATAAGGGGAACAAGACAGGTAGGGATAGCTAAAAATAAGTGTGGGAAAAGCTAAAAATAAATGTGACCCAGTTGGCACCAGATTGGAGGAGTTTTTAAGAGTCTAGAGACTTTACCATCAATGCCCACAACAGTAATTAGGGCCGAGAAGGTTGTTCCTTGGCAGGAAGGCAAAGTGGAGTGGCAGGCACCCCTATGATTAAAAATGGGGTGGACTTACCTTCCACTATAAGAATTACCCAGAGTTAGTCACCTAGGATATTCCAGGGGGTCTCTGAAACCTTTGGGCAGCTTTAGTCTTCCATGGCCAAGCCTAGAAGGTCTGGGAAGGAGCCCGTTAGGGGTCCCTGGGGATCTCCAACTTAAGTTATAATTGCTTTGAGCTGTAACAGTCATGTTTAAAGAAGGAAGCATTGGTAGCAAGAGTAATAATCAAGAGAACTAAACCTTTGTTTTTCAGTTTTTTGAGAGACAATGAAAAGATATCAAAGAGCAAGGTGGAAATAGCGCCCTTTTTTACCTTGTAAAAGAGATCACCTGTAGAAATAGAGAGAAGCAAACAAATGGCCTGGGGGAATTCTGCCCTGGGCCTTAGGGTGGAGAAGCCTCCAAGACGTCTGTGTTATCTGTCTGATCATCTAGGCAACCCCTTTAGCACGAAGGTAAGGCTACATTTTGTGAAAAGTCCAACCTCAAATTTCTGTGTTCCTGAAGCTCACAGATTCAACTTACATACACTGCCTAGCAACCATGATTTACAAGTCAGTAAAGGCACATCCATCAGTTTTTACATGCACATAAAAGAAGAGAACGGCTGAACTGATGGATGGGGTCCTGTGATTTATTAATAGACATGTACATTTCCTAAATACAAACTAGATTTTTTTTTTTGTACCGGGAATCGAACTCACAGCTTGTGCTTGCCAGGCAGGCGCTTATGCCGCTGAGCTATATCCACAGCCCCAAACTAGATTTTATAAGAAGACCCATTTTACAGTGTCTTCTAAATTTATCCTGTAGTTAGTTGCAAAGTCCACCAGAGGGCGTTTTAAAGAGAGTCTAAATGCAGCATCTATAAAGCAGGAATCTAAGACCTTGCCTGCAAAAGTAAAATGTTTAGGTTGCCCCTTGGGAGATAGGTAGGCCTGGTCCTTTCGTTGTTATCTGAAGGCCTGGCCTCTAACTGATGTATCTCCAGCTACAGTTGTGGTGTGTTCTTACCTTTTGTCTTGACTGTCTAGAGGGCCCCGTCCTACCTGACTGCCTATAATATTTTTACCTAACTTAGCTGTCCACAGTATTCCCTCTCTGAAGATGTATCCCACACTGCCATGAGGGGCCAGGTGGTGAGGACCTTTCTGGCGGCTTCAGGCTGAAGGTTGTCGTAGTTGTGATTGGTAGTTAGAGGCACTCTTCAGAGGGTCTATCTAAAGGCCCTTGGTAGACATTAGGTCTCTCGTCTTGGGTAGGTACATAGCTCTAAGTCTGGAGGAGACAAAGCCAAAGAAACGGTTAAGTAAGCACGGGCCAAACAGTAAAATCAACAAGGCTATTGTGACTACAACCAAAAATATTTTTTACCAGGAAGAGCCAGTAAGAAGATGGTCCAAGGAGTTTTAGACTCCAACATGGCCTTAACCTGTCATTTAACATCTTGAATGCTCATTGAGATGCTAGCAAAAGTATCAGGAATGTACACACATTTAGCCTTTATTATTGACAAGTATGGCCTTGTGCTGCTGTGAGAATATCTAAGACCATTTAATCTTGGAGGATGTCTTGTCTCATTATTTTATTTTATTTTTTTATTTAGGAGAGAAAGAAAGACCGGTTGAAGTGTCCTCTGCAGTGAATAACTGCTACTTTGGAGGTCACATAGACAAAGGACAAAAGTGTATCTATCTCTCTTGATTATACTTTTCTGCTGGGTGTTTAAGACCCAGTTAAAATGAGACCTGTGTTAATCAAAATTGACCTTCTGCGACCTATCAAGGTCAGGTAAGCCTCTTCAGGCATTGCAGTGCAGGCAGGAGGGGCACTATGGTGGGGACAGGGTGGTGGTGCAGCCAGGGGTATTTCAGGAGGGTGCACACCCACGTTTTCCTTACCTGGATGGCGGGCTGTGTGCACAGGGGCTGCGGTTCCCCTGTTCACAGGAGTGCCAGTTGGACCTTGGACTTTATGGTGACACTGTGTGTCTGTTATGCCAAGCCACTGGGGCTATGAGGTCCGCGAGCGAGCGAGCAGGGTCAGGGTGGGTGGGGCAGGGCATGTGAGGTGCAGGCACTTGGTGCCAGGACCTCTTGGCCTGGGACTCCTTCCCAGGACTGGTGCATGAGTGGTGCTGCTGGGGCTCGGTGACACACAGCTGGGCCCCAGAGTTGTGCCTCAGGGCAAACAGAACAGCAGTGGTGGGAAGGAGGCACTCAGGGAGTCGGGCGAGGGAAAAGTCACACAGTGGTAGTATCATCCCACCTATGCTCTGTCTGCTGGGATCTGTGTGCTTCCCCCTACGAGGCTGAGGCTGAGGCCTTGGTGGGTGGGGAGGAGGGAGTCTGAGACGGAGGGAAAAGTTTTACACGCATGAGAAGGGAGAGGAAGAAGTCTCACCTGATCTGAAGCTAGCAGGGTGTGTCTGGGGCATGGTCCGTGGAGTCAAAGTCACAGGGTGGCCTCTTTAAGACCCTAGGGGCTCAAGATAGGGCTTGAAGTCCATCTAAAGAGGGGTACTCTGTCCTGGGCTTTGGGCATCATATGTGTCAAAGGCACAGAGGAGAGACTGACCACTTGATAAAACTGTATAATCAACCATGGATACTTATTCACTCCTATAGGAGGGAGGTGAGTTCAGAGAGTAGAATTAGCAGGAAGCTAGGGTAGAACAAAGGATTTAAAGGAGAGGGGAGGAGTTTGCTGCTGTGAGGAGTTTGGGGGCAGAGTTGGTGTGGTTGTACTTCAAGAATTGATGATGGGAGAGATACATGTGTGGTCACATTTCTTGGGATGGGCGGTGCAGATGGACATGACTTTGTTCTTCTGTGGCTTCCCACCATGCCTGCTGGGTGGATCGTTGCTGTGCTGGTGGGCATCTTTGTGTGTGTCACCTTTCTTCCAGGTTGCTTCATAGGATAGCTTTTTAGATGTGGAGTTACTGAGTTGGAAATGGGTGAGGAATACAGGGGACACACTCTTCCTCTGGGGCCAGGAGCCTTGGCTTCCTGCCCTCCTGTGCAGTGAGGAGCTGGCCGTGTGTAGCCACACCCTATTCATCTGTGGGACCCAGCAAGCTCCTGCAGAAGAGCCTCAGAAGTGTGTAGTTCAGTGCCTGTCTCTTAACTGGATCTCAGGAAGTGCTGGTTGAAAGTGAATATTGCCAAACCAGTATCATAGCTTACATTGTCCCTGGGAGCAGACGAATATACCTGTTTCCACCCTCATCACTGTGGGTATTAATGTTTGCTTCTCTCTGGGGTATCGCCCTTCAGGTGGGTTATGCAGTGACTTACTGGGTTCCAGCGTCAGACAAGCCCACGAGTGGGACCAGAGCCCTCCTTGCTGGGAGCTCACAGAGCTGTGTGCGGGAGACAGACAAGGTCCCTGCACATTCCCTTGGTGCCTGACTAGGGGCTGGCCCTGGGGTATCGGGGAAGGATTTCAGGAGGAGATGGCAAAGGGGGTGAGAACTAAGGGGTGGATAAAGATGAGCCAGGCAACAAGGAAATGGCAGTGCGGAGATGTGAGTCACCTGGTTTCTTAGTTACTTTCTTCATTGCTGGGACAAAATACCTGACACCCACCGTTTAAGGAAGAAGTTTATTTTTCACAGCCTGTAGAGGTTTTAATCCATAGTCACCTGGCTGCAAGGCAGGACAGCATGGCAGAGAAGCACAGCAGAGGAGAAAGAGCTCATGGCATGGCAGGTAGGAAGCAGAGAGACAGATCAAGGGAGGAGCAGGGGAGATACATGCTTCCAGGCCATGCCCTGGTTGGGCTCCTTCAGTCGGGCTTCACCCCCCAGTATGATATTTAGCTCTAAATTCTATGGGTGGTGAATCCACTGATGAAATCATGCACCTGTGATCCAGCCACCTCCCCAAAGCCCCACCTATGAGCACACAAGACTTTCAGGGGGATTTAGATGTAAACCATTACACCTAGTTTCAAACCCCTACTCCTGTCATCACTTAGCTAACATGGTTTTATATTTTATTGTTTAGCTCTGTCTTCTTGAATGGCAGCCCCATGAAACGGGACCTTCTCTGTGTTGTACTCAGTGCTGCATTCTCAGTGCCTGGCCTAGGGGCCTGGCACACAGTCAGTGCTGGATCCGTGGTTATGGAATGGGTGGATGGATGCATGGATGGACGGATGGGCCACAGCTGTGGGGACAGATATGAGAGGATGCACACACTCCAGCAACATCTGATGTTTTGGCTGGGCCCTGTCCATCTGGGGCCCGTGAGTAGACAAATCTTGCAGGTACTGCAGCCCTGGTCCTCCCAGAGGATGTACTTTGCCAATGTGTTCTTGGAGCTTTGTGCAGTACACCACAGAGAACGGATTTGCAGATTTGGGGGCCAAGGTCATGTTCCCGGAAGACACTGACAGGTGTGAGGACCGGCCCACGTTCCTCACCAGATGGTGGCATTCCCAGGAAGCAGCAGCCAGAGATGCCGAGTGAATGGCTGGTGAGCTACCAGATCGGATTTAAGGGTGTAATTATGAAGGATCGTCCGCAGCTGTTAGAATGAATCAACGCCTCCGAAGGGGAGAGCAGGGCTGCCAAACGGTTTGGTTTTGAATGGAAACACTTCTCTTGTCTCCTCTCTTATGATATCTTGGATTCCCCAGACGCCTGGAGCTTGTGACTGCACCCACCACGGAGCACAGACCTGGTGCCTCGCAAGAAGGCAGTGAGTGCAGCAGAAGGAGGGTCGGAAGGGCGCAGGAGTGAACGATTTCTAGTGACTCCTGTCTTGTTCCGGCACTTGTTGTACAGTGACTCCCTTCCCAGACAAAGGGCTTTTGCAAGAGAAAGCTCTCGGGAAATGGGAACTTCAGGTTTTGTAAATCAGTTTGGGGAGATTAAGACTATGGACACATCAGACTCAGCTACAGCAGAGAAACCGCCTGTGCCATCCCTGTCTTGGTTTACCATACCTCCTGATAGGCACCTTGCTGCCTGTCTGCCCTCCTGAGCTCCATGATGGTGTATATATATATATATATATATATATAATCTCCAGCCCTTTTTAAAATTTTATTTGGAGACATGATTGTGCTAAGTTGTCTAGACTGGCCTTGAACTTGCCATTCTCCTGCCTCACCCTCTCAAGTACCTGGGATTATAGGTGTCCACCACCAGGCCCAGTTCCCTTCTTTGTTTATGGAGCTCTTGGTTACCTGGTTTTGTTCTTGACGTTTCACTAGTGCATTTATAAGGATGGAATGAAGCCACCCCAGAAATAAATAGCAGCTGGTTTCAACGTGAGTGGGCTCCTGAAATGTTTTGGAAGAGACTAACATCTCCTTAAATCAGGCATAGCGTATGTGATACATTTGAAGTAAGAGTTTAAAACATATTTAAATCAGGTTCTTTGCATTTTATAATTGGGTTACATGAAAACTTGAGACTCTCGGGTTTCTAGGGTTGGGAAGGACTTTAAAATACTGTTTAGGTGTCTACTATGGTGGTTTAGAAACTACTTTTGCTCTCTTTTCTCCATGGATCTGCTCATCAATTCCTTGATGGCCCCCTGTCACCATATTTAGAAACCAGGCAGGCATTTGCTCAGTATTTGAAATAGTGACCTAAGTGATAGCCCGAGATACAAAGCAGGTCAAAGGCGACAGGCACGGTCATGCTGAGGAGGGGTGTGAACCAAGACTCACTTTCTGTGTCTTCTCTATTTTCTTTCCCTGCTGTGTGGCCACTGAGGTGAGTTCAGGGATCTCAAGGGCCTCATGTGACACTTGGGTACCATGGATCCTGGCGCAGCAGTGGTTGCTCTGAGGGACTTCCTTCCCCGGAGAAGCCATGCAGATGCCTGTCCAGTCCCCATCTGAGCAGTTGAGTGGGCGTGGCCGTGTGAGGGTAAGGTGGTCACACCAGGCACTCACAGCAGCCAGCCTGAGGTGTGGGGCTTCTCCACGCAGTGTGACAGTCTTCCCCTCAGTGGGGATTGGCAGGTTCAGCTTCCTGCTGAGCACTGCACAGCTCATCCAGTAGCTGTGGTCAAAGCAGCTCAAACTGTGCCCCAGGTCGTTTTGTGTCCCTTGTCATGAGACTCGTGGGGCTCACGACACCTGCACCTATTTGGCATCTTAGAAGAACAGGGAATGGGGCTGAGAGAATAGTTCTTCATTCATTAATTTATTCACTCAACAATTATTTACCCAGTCGTCATGTGTTCCATGCTGTTATGTGCCAAGCAACTGTGCAAGCCCCTGGGGACTTAGCACTGAATGTGGGTTGAAGGCGCACACCCTAGCAGATGTCACTGCACGCCCCTGATGAGTCCTGCTGAGTATCTGAGTGTCTGTGGTGCTCCGTGAACATGTACTAGGGGTTTGGACCAGTTTTGGGGTTTGGACCAGTTTTGGGGTGATGTCTAAGCTGTGGTCTGAGGGATGTGGGAACGAGAGGGGCTATGCCAAAGAATAGGCACAGAATGTACAAAGGCCCTGAGGAGGTGTTTGAGGACCCCTACTCAGGCAGTGCACCAGTACTGCTCAGTGGAAGAAAGAGTTCCTGGAATATTTACCTTGAGTGTTCAGTAGTTACCTCCTCTATGTTGATGGCATTGTTTGAGGCCATCATTTCCACTCCTAGGCAGTTAATCCTCCTATTCGTGTGTCCCACATCCCCCATTATAGACCAGGATATTTATTACCCAGCATTGTGTGTGTGTGTGTGTGTGTGTGTGTCTTACACAAAACTCTGAGCTCCCTAGTTGCAGGAGTATTTCCGGTTTATCTTTGTGTACACAGTAGGTGCTCCATAAATACATATTGAAGAAATAATCTATTGAGCACCTACTGTGGACTCACGCTAATCATGTACACATGCATATATAAGGCTACAAAACTGAAGAGCCAAAAGGAGTGTGAGGCTTAGAAGCTGGAGGCGATGCCAGCGGATGCAGTGGGAGCCCGAAAGCTTTTGCGCCGTCTGTGCACGTACTGCTGGAACTCCGGAACTGAGCTGTCGTCCTGTGTCTCCCCAGACCTGCTGAAACTCAGATTGTGGGGACAAGCCTCTTTCCCTATCCACTCCTGCCGTGGGAGTGTGCACACAACCCCATTCGCCATGAGCTGTGACCCTGGTGGCTTTCCCCGGCAGCCACACATCCCTACTCTGGGCCTGCCAGTTCAGGTAAGTGGGGTACGTGCTGACCCAGGCGCAGGGGCTGGAGAGTCCAGGAGGTGGAGCACACCAGGGTTCCACAGGGAATCATCTGTCTGTCTTTTGAATCCTGTCGTTGCCCTGTGTCTCCTGCCTGTGCTCCGTGTGAGTCTCAGAGCAGGGTTTTAAGAGCTCACAGTGGCTGGCCCTGAAGGTAGACACCCCTGATTGTGGGCAGGACCCGCAGATCTCTGCCTAGGGTCTTCGTAGATGGAGGTTCTTCAATTCTCAGATCCTCCGGGTCTGTCTCTCTCTTCTCCTTTTAACCCTGTCTAGACACTGTTCTCCTGACTGGGGAGATGGAATCTGTTAGCACTATCAAGTGTGTAGGGAAGAGAAAATATCAAAATCTGTTGGTCTCTCTTTCTTGCAGACTGCCGAGTGAGTCAGAGCGATGTGGGGTGGGGGGAGCTGCGCAGGGCCCAAGTAAGGGACACGGGAGGCTTGTGTTTAACTAAAATACCTTCTTTTTTAGTGCATCTAGGTGGAGGGCTGGTGGGAGAGGGGCAGTTTTACAAGGAAAGATAATACTAGCATGAAAAGGAGCTGGTGAATTAAGAACAGTGACTTGTCTGGTACTTTTTAAGATCCGAAAAGAATAACAAATATTCTTTCAAAAGGCAGGGCTGAATGAATCAGGACTCAGCTCTGTGATTATAAGCAAACTGAGTGACCTCCCTGGGGCCTTTCTCTTCATCTCCGTGGGACAGACAGTGATCATTTCTGCCTCATGGAAACTCATGCAAGAGAGCCAGGTGCATAGCTGAGTGAGCAAGGGCACTTGACCTGAGATGATGCAAAATGAGATCTCATCCTTGGCCCCACCTTGTAGGGCCCTGAGGGTGAGGGTTATAAATATACAAAGCCCTTGGCCACACCAGAGGTCTCACCTAAGATGAGCCCTCCCGATGAGCTCTGATTCTTCCTGTGAAGAATGTGAACCTGGCTGGGGACAGAGCTCAGTGGCAGAGCACTTGCTTATCATGCACAGGCCCTGGTTTCACTGTCCAGCACCATAAAACAAAAGAAAAGCGGAAAAAGGAAGGCAGCCAGCATTAAAAACATAGGTGTTCAACAGAAAACAACCCAATAACAAATATCAGCAGGTTGAATGGGAAAAATGACGCTTGAATTTTAAATCTAAGAAAACTAAGATGAGAAAGATAAGAGGAAGATAAGAGACTCCAGGGCACCCTGGGAGGGGAGTTGAGGGCCGAGGCAGGGCCTCCACCAACCACTCACCAGGCTTGTGACTCTGGCTGTTCCTGCCTTGGGTGGTCGTTTGAGCTGAGGCTGACCTCTTCAACACTCTTTGCCTGGTGCTCAACATAGATTACTAGAATGTCTGGTGGAGCAGGCTCTGAACTAGGAAGTGATCAGGGTGACAGGAGTGAGGGAGCTCGAGGTTGTACGCTTGGGGCTTATGCCTGGAGTGTGTGGTACGAGCACAGAGCTGGGCCTGAGGTTGAATGCTGACCTTGCCTCTCCCTTTCTGGGTGGTGCCAGCCCTGTTCTTTTGCTGCCAAGCTGATTTCCTCATTTGCCCCTTTCACCCTGAGAGCTGGTCCTGAGATTGGCTGAGTCAAGAAAGGCCTGGAGGAGCCCTCTGAGCTGGAGCAGGCTCTAGAATCAGGGCTCGGGGATCAGTCCTGTTCTTCCACACCTTTGCTTTGATGCAGACACTGACTACATGCTAAATTTACTTTCTGCTTTTTTTTTTTTCCTTTTTTAAAGCAGCTGCTTCTCCATTTCCAATGCTTCTAATCTTCATGGATCCACAACAGTAACCATGGCAACACGGGTCGAGGTTGGCTCCATAACGTCCCTGACGGCGGTGCCAGGCCTAGGTGACATCAGCAAGGAGACCTTGAAGCGGACCTTCTTCCGCCCAGCAAGTGACACCTCTGGGGTTCCCTCAGCCCAGATCCTAGAAGGACAAAGCCCCCTGCGGGGCCCAGCCCACTTGTTCCCTCTGCCAAGACTCGCCCCTAAACCCTTCTCGAAGGAGCCGGCCCCCGACATTAAATCCCCTGTAGCATCTTCGTGGCCAGGTCCCATCAGGCCGTCCTCCACTGGGGTCTCTGAGGAGGTGGCAGCCAAGAAGCCGAACCCAAGGATGCCCAGTTTGGCAGGACAAGAGGTAGATGGGGGGGACAGCCCTGGCCAAAGCGAATCTGTGACCAGCAAGGCCACGTTCCTGCGTCCCAGCCCCAGCACCGGCCCCAGCACCATGATTCTCTATGAGACCACCAAAACTGGCCCGCCTCTGGGGAAAGGGCTCAGTCAGGGGGCTCGAGAGGCTGGCACGGGGGTGTCCCAGGAGCCCCTCGCCAGTGCCCGGCCAGAGGTGGCCGCCAAGCCTGCTTTGCCTGCTCACAAGCCCATGGGAACCCTGCCCCGACCGGCCTCCCTGCCGCAGGATGCGCGGTCAGCCCCGGGCCAAGCAGAGGCACTTCCACAGCAGCCGCTCTTGAAGGCCAGCAGTGTGGAGGACACTACAGCCGCTGCACCGGGGCCCAGGCCCCGCCCGAAGAGGAGGCCCGTGTCGGCCATCTTCCCAGAGTGTGCCCAGCCTCTGAAGCCAGGCCCAGGAGAGACGGCCAGGGTGGGCAAGGTGCCCCCCACCCCTCCTGAAAAGACATGGGTGAGGAAGCCCCGGCCTTTGTCCGTGGACCTCACGGCCCGGTTCGAGAACAAGGAGGCCTTGCTGAGGAAGGTGGTTGACGAGGGAAAAGGAACCTTCGAGTGTCGTAGGCCAGAGAGGGCCAACCCCGAGGCCAGAGTGGATGGGGACTGTTCTGTCCAAGCAAGGACCTCGCACCATGACCCGGACACAGACTTCCTGGAGGGGATCAAGAAAGTCCGTGAACAGAAGGAGAAGCTGTTTTTTAAGCAGGCAGAGATGGGTGGCGCCAGGGCCCTGGGGTGCTCAGCCAAGGTTCCCCCTGCAGGTGACCAGAGTCCGCAGGAAGAGAAGGCCAGGCTGAGCCAGGAGCCAGAGAAGGTGCCCGAGTCCCCTTCACTGAGGTCAGGAGGAGGGACGGAACGTGCTGGGGCCTTGAACAGAGGAGCCAATGGGGACTCCCCAGTGGGGACGGAGTGGACCTCCAGGGGCAGCGTCAAGAAGCGCCTCAGCCTGTTTCAGGAGGAGATTATCTTGGCCTCAGCAGGAGGATCTGAGCCTCCCCCGGTCACCCTGGAGTACCCATTGGCAACACCAGAGCCTGAGAAAGGGGGTGTGAGTGTCCAGGAGCGGATCAAAGGCTGGGCCACTGAGAGCTGGGAGGTGAAGCCAGAGATCAGGAGGCGGACGCTCCAGGCACGGCCACTATCAGCGGATTTGACCAAAGTGTAAGTGGCCACAACCCGTGTATCTCATGCATACCCCAGGGTGCCTCCCACTGCCCACCGGAGGACTGAGGGAAAGGGGATCCAGTGACACTGGGCTCTGTGCCCAGCACCTTACACTGCTTCTGTCACTCCATCCGCAGCCCTTAGAAGAGGTGGCCATAGTTTCCCCTTCTCAGATAAGGAAGCTGTGGAGAGGGAGAGCAGATCCCCTGCAGGGTGCTGAGGGGTCTGTGTCCTCCCTCTCTGTTTATACTCACGGTGTAAGGTCTTGGAAGGAGTTGTATCCATTGAACAGATCGGGGTGGGAAGGGTGAGGCACTGTGAAGAGGTGGGGAGCCCCCGGCAGTTCCATCTCAGCCTCTCTCTGTAGCTAGACCTTCCTTCCTTCATGTGACAGAACACCTCAGATTAGGCCTGAGCCTCCCTGAGTGGCCTGAAAATAAAACCAAAGGGGTTGGGGTAGCTTGGGGTAGATTAGGCCTGAGCCTCCCTGAGTGGCCTGAAAATAAAACCAAAGGGGTTGGGGTAGCTTGGGGTAGATTAGGCCTGAGCCTCCCTGAATGGCCTGAACATAAAACCTAAGGGGTTGGGCAAGTCGTAACACTCCGTCTTCTTCTTGAAAACAGAAATTATATTAAGAGCTTTCTTTAAAGGATTGAGGGTAAAAACTCAAAGAGAATGCCGGGAATTATTCTGCCCTGGGGAAGCCCTCAGTACATGGAAGATCACCAATCCTGTTGGTTAACAAGGATGCTCTGAATTCCACCGACCTCTGACGTTTGGATCTTGCTTATTGTTTCCCCACATGTGACCACAGCAGGGAGATGCCACCAAGCGTGACCCACAGGCTTGTTAACGCCATGCATGCCACCAACATGCTTTGTCCAGGGAGGAGCTTCTGGGGCAGGACCTCTGGAGACTGTCCTCCCAAACCTGGGAACCAGGGCAGCAGGCGGGCCAAGTGAGACCCGTGGCCCTCAACACATTAGAATCACCCGGAAAAGTGCCCATGCCAAGATTCTGATTTTTGTTGGTCTGGTGTGCTTCTGTGTATGTTTACACCTGTGTGCACATGTGTGCGTGTGTGTGCACGCGCGCGCACGTGTGTGTGTGTGTGTGTGTGTGTGTGTGTGTGTGTGTGTGTGTGAGATTATGTGGGTAGCTTCTGAAAGTTTTCAAGTGATTCTCAATGTGGCCAGGCCTCATACTCGCTGAACTAAGACATCACAGAAGACATGGGTGCAGGGACCTCGCGCACTTTATTCTGACTATGATCAGAGAGCTCCTAAGGAGCTGTATGATTATCTGACAGATGGGGAAGCTGAGGCTCTGAGTTCAGAAACAACTCATCACAGCCTTGCACCTACTAGAAAGCAGACCCTGTGTACCTGAGTGGGGGTCAAGTTCGTGTAGTCTGGTTTTTTTCCACTCCCTTTTCTTCTAACCCTGCCAGGCCTGCACCAAGCGCCTGCTACACAGCTTCGGGCATTTATCCCAGATGACATGATCAGAGATGGAAAAACTGTAGCCCTCCTTCCTCTTCCCCTTTCTAACTGGGGAAACTGAGACCTAGAGAGGCAGAGGCAGACCTGTGCCCCCACATCTTCCATGGCGACCCACTGCACCCAAGTCTCGTGGCTGCTGTGACAGGATGATTGTTGTGGTTGGGCTGCTAACAAGAACCATTAATTACCTTTCCCAGGGCATCTTCATTCTTCCCTAAACACCTTCATGTAGCTATTAGGGCCATGGGTAGCCTCTTATCTGTCCCACAAAAGAGGGCAGGGAGGTACCAATTATCCCCATTTTATAGATGAAGAAATAGAGGCTCGGGGAAGGTCATGGGCCTGACCCAAGCTCCTGTAGTGAGGTGGTTGAGCAGGGACTGGCAGCCAGGCATCTTTACCCAAGCTGGGGCACCCTCCACTCGGACCATGCTCTGCTTAAGGTAGGCTTTTCCCACTGGCCCTCTCCGCTTGGTGCCTGGAAAGTAAATGTCCTCTATGGAAATGGGACAGCATGGTTTACAGGATAGCAAGGCCAAGTTCAGTTCCAGCCTCCTGAGCGGGGCCAGTGTGTGAACTGGGGGAATCCTGGCCTGTGGCTCCATGTGAGTAACTCAGATCTCTCTCCCAGGTTTTCAAGTTCAGCTTCGAGCAATGAGGTCAGGTATGAGAAGTATGCTGGGATGGGCAGCCAGTCTCCTAAGGAGCCAAGCGAGAAGGTGAGCAGGGGCCTGGTCCTCGGGTCTTCTTTCCCAGCACACGGTTACACTTCCCAGAGAACAGGGTCAGCAACCTGCTGGACCCAGGCAGAGAGCATCAGGTCCTGGGCAAGAAGGCATTTTTCCCTGTGTTGGGGCCCCACGTCCCTCCTGGCCGGATGGGTTGTGATTCTCCAGTCCCAGGTGGCAGGTGATTTGTAAATGTAATCGTCAGCTATTTGTTTATTTATTTTTTCTGTGCAAAGCAGTAGAGGGGTATGGCTTGCTTATATGAGTTCCAGTTTTATTAAAACACTTAAGAGTTTGGTTTAAAATGTTAACACAAACTCCCTCCAGTTCCCTTGTTAGGATTCTTAGTCCCTCCTCACCCTTGGCCACCTAAGAGAAGAAAGAAGGAATTTACCAGCAAATCAGTTGCTTAGAAAGTATTTTTATTTCATCTGTTTAGTGGGAAAAAGCTCATAAAATGACTACTAGGTTTGACTGGGTTGTGGTCGATGCTCTTTGTGGCTTTAATTTTTTTTTTTTAAGAACAGCTTTGTTGGGGTACACGTGACATGCAGAAAGAGCACATGCTTAATGCGTAAAAGTGGATATGTTTCCACATGTGTGCATCTGGGATAACACTGGTGCAGTCATGACAGGGGCCACCTGTACCAGGTGCACACACTCCCTCCTGGTTCTTTGTGACCCTTCCCCCACCCCCCCTGACCGCCCCTAGGCAGGACTTGTCTACTCGCTGTCACTCTAGACTTCTTTGCACTTTCTGGATTTCTGTATCCCTGGAGCCAGCTGCTTTTTGGTCTTGCTTCTCCCCTCACAGTAATTATCCGGCTTGTCCAAGTGCATATCATCATTCATCCCTTGTTATCGCTGAATGTTGTTCCGATATGTGGGGCCACAGTTTGTCCATTCACCTTTATTTTTTTGGCAGTACTGGGGGTTCAGCCAGGGCCTTCACTCTGAGCTACATCCACAGCCTTTTTTTTTTTTTTTTTTTCCTATTTTTTATTTTGAGACAGGGCCTTCATAAGTCACTAAGTTGCCCAGGTTTGGCTCGAACTTGCAATCCTCCTGCTTCAGCCTCCCAGCATGCTGGGTTACAGGCATGCACCACCACAGCCTTCTTCCATTCGCCCTTTTGCTGACTTGGGCAGTTTCCAGCTTGGAGCTGTTAGGAATGAGCTGGGATGAACACGTGTGTACAAGGCTGTGTTGTAGGGACTTGTACCTTTTGCTCTTGGGTAAATATCCAGGAGAAGAGCAGCTGGATCCTGCAGAAGCTGTGCTTTATGTTGCAAGAAACTTCTGCAGAGTTTAACAAATGGCACTCATGCTCATTTCCAAGCCTTCGTACCCCTGTCATGGCACAACCCCAAGAGCGGGGGCTGGCTTTGAAGGCAGCCACCACCTCCTGGGGCCAGCAGTCTGCCCTCTGTTTTATGCCTGGCTCTTCTGAATCATTTCTTTAAAAAAGGTTGAGAGTTCAACCCAAGAAAAGCCCCCATGTTCACACAAATATACCGTGGCAACACCACCAAAACCTCTTGGGTGGAAGGTTGATTGTCCTTAAACCTGGGGCAGGGGTTGAGGCAGGTTTATTGTTTCCTCTGTAATTTGTATGTGTTCCACAATTTTCAAGGAAGGAAAAGTTGGGGCTTAGGGAGCTGCTTAGTGGTAGAGGATGTGCATAACATATGCGAAGTCCTGGTTTTAAGACCTAACCCTGCCAAAAATAAACAAGAAAGAAAGGGAGAAAGGAAGAAAGAAAGAAAGTCAGAACCAAGAAAGGAAAGGTTTAAATAAACCCTTGCTTTAAATACGTCAAGACTGCATTCATACAAGTAGAAAAATTTTGGGTTAAGCCTGATGTTGCATGTTTGTAATCCCAAGACTCAAGAGGCTGAGGCAGGAGGATCACCATAATTTTGAGGCCAGCCTGGGCTACATAGGCGAGTTCAAGGCCTACCTGTACTGCATAGTGAGACCCTGCTTCAAAAAACAAAAACAAAAACAAAAAAACCCTACATAATATAAAATACAACATTTTAACTTCTTTAAGGGTAATAGATATATTTTTTAATTTATAAAACAAACTATCTTTATGAAATATAGTAATATGCTTATATATATCTTCAGGTATACATACCCCATCATATATATAATATTAAAATAATATATTAGTTCATATATATATGTATAAACACATATATACACGTATAAACACATATATACATCTGCAAAGGCATATATCTCTTTGATAATGGTTGTTATCCAAAGGGGACTGGTATTTAATGAGGAAGCAAAAAGGGTTTGAATTTTGTCTTTATCCTTTACATTCCTTTGAAATAAGAATGGATTCGTGTGGTTTTTTATGTCTACATATGTTTACATAGTAAAGTAGAAATAAAATTTAAATATCAATACATTTTTAAAAATTTCAGTGTCATTTCCATCACCTGGAGCAGGGCTTAGCAAACTCTGGCCCTGCCTGCATTGTAACCGTTTTCAGGTTCACAATTCAGTGACACTAAGTACATTTTCAGTGTTATGCAGCCATAGCCCCAACCTAGTTCCTGAACATTTTATCACCCCAAAGAGAAGCCCTACCTCACCCCACTCCTGATGACTACTAGTCTATTTTCTGTCTCTGTGTGTTCACTGGCTCTTGACAGCCCATGTGCAGGGCCTTTGTGGCTGGTGCATCCCCCCGCGTAATGTTTTCCAGGTCTATCCATGTGATAGCGTGGCTCAGCGCTCTGTCCCTTGTGTGGCCCTATCATGTGAATGTGCTGCAGTTTGTCCATCCGCCGATGAGCACTGGAGCTGTTCCACTGTTTGGTGACTGGAGAATGCTATTGTGGACACAGCAGGCCCCACCTCCTAACAGCAAGGGAACTATAAAGCCCCATAATCTACTCACCTTCCAAATGCCGCACCTATGAACACATGAAGCTTGGGGGACGGGGTGCACGTCTAGATACAAACCATAACCACACACTGACTTTTTAAAAATGTTTCTTGTATTGGAAACACACTGTTGTGCAGTTTGCTTTACTCCTCATGAGACAACAATATTCTGCAGCTGTCCTTAGCCATCAGTGTCATTGAGATCCTCCTCCTCCTGCAGTCACACATGCCTCTTGCTTGGACATGATAGGGTTTGCTTAGCTACTGCCCTTCTGATGGACACCTAGGTTGTTTCTGGGCTGCTTTGCTTTCACAAACAGTGCGGTGCTTCTTGGACTTCACTGTTCATGTTCCCTTGTGCACGTGGCAAAGCAAAAGTCCTGGGAAGAACTTGGCCAGATAAAAGGAAATGAGTACCTTAAAATCACGATAGGGTGTGCACGGTCCCTAAGCCGTCCCGTTATGTTTTCTCCAGCAGAATGAGAGGGCACCTGCTTCCCACACCCTCAGCCTCACTGGGTGTGATGAGTCTTTAAATTCCTGTACTCTCACTGTTCTAATGATCAAGCAGTCAACTCGATCACCTCACCTGCCTCTTCCTTCCCATCTCAGATCCTCTAACACTGCTGTCCTTATTTTTGCAGCCAAAGGCAGGGCATGGTTTGGACAGAGCACCTGCCCCAACTGGCCCTTGGAAACCTGGGTTGCCCCACAAGCCATGCAGGCCGACGGAGCACAAAGACAGCTCTAAACAGGACTCCGGCAGCTGTCCGGATGACAGCTCAGGGAGGGCTCTCAGCTCCTCAGGAGTCACTCCAGGAGATGATGGAAACTTCCAGGCAGTGTGGGCCACAGTGTTTCACCATCGCGTGGACAGACACACGGTGGCTGAGCAGTCAGGACGTTGTCTCTTAGACACATCCCCTCGTGATACCCATGTCTCTGAGCCCACACCCAGGTCTGAGAAAGGCCCTTGGATGGGGAAAGACCCACCAGAAGTGACAAACCCCAGGAGGAAGAATTCCAAGTGGCCTGAAAGTCCTGAGCCAGGGAAACTGGAAGGAGCTGCCCTACTGGACAGTGAGCCGAGACAATACCGCACACCCGCCCCGGATAAATACCCTGCAGGTGACACACACAGTGATAACCCCTTCCTGAAGCACTCGGAAAATCCTCTCACATCACGGAGGATTGAGCCCAGGTATGACGTTGTGCACACCGTCGGGGAGCGCGCGCACAGCGAGGCTGTCTCCACCGCGCCTGGGGAACAGGCCGTGACGCTCCGCAGTGGCAGGTCCCAGCTCTCGCTGAAGCGAAGGCAGCTCTCCCAGGAGGTCAGCCCTGTCAACCCAGAGCATCCTCTTGAAGGTCAGGCAGGGTCTGTCCAAAGGGCCAGTTTGATTTGGGAAACTCGAGGGCAGGAGGCCAGTGGGCCAAAGCTTGACCTCCGTGAGCCGAAGGACACATTTGGGGAGAGTTGCTCACCACCCAGGTGGACAAATGGGTCAGCGGTGAACTGGCATCAAACTACCCTAGTGGCCAGCACGGAGCCCTGCGCTCCTGAGGCCCATTTTGGGAGGGCTGTCAAGGTTGCCATCTGGGAAGGCCAGAACCAGGGGCCTGGGGTCAGAAACGAGCCGAGAGGCTCCATTTCTGCAGCACAGAGAGGTCTACCTGGAGGGTGTGCTCTGGACCCTCCTACTGTCAAGGCCAAGTTTGAGCCCTCTGGCTCGCAACTTCAGGCACGCCCAGAGGCATTTCTCATGCAGAAAGGACCCCCTGTGACTGCCAGTAAGGGGGCTGCAAGGCTGGAGCCTGAGAGCAGAGTGCCGAAAAGCAGCCCCACAGACCCGAGGATGGACAGATGGAGGCGGCGGACTTTACCCCACGATGCAAAATTTGAGGCATTCAGCCTCCTCCTCCCAGAGAACTCTTCAAAAGTAGATCAGAGACAAACAGATTCCTTGAGCCCCACAGCCAGTGCCTTAAGAAAACCTGAGCTGTCCCACAATCACGTGGGAACACAGGAGGGGGCCCCAGGTGCCCCACAGGACTGGACCTCCCCAGGCACAAAACCAGGGTCATCCGTGGAACCCAAGGCAATGTTTTTTGCAGTCACTTACCAGATTCCTGATATTCAAAAGTCAAAGAGTGTTGTGAAGTCAGGGCCTGAGAATTCACTGGAGCATCCTCGAAAAGTAGCTCCGCCTCCATCTCCTCAACCTTTTATAACTGCTCTGGTGTCTCCTAATCATGAAGAGCCACAGGCTTCTGCAGGCAGTAAAACCTGGGCTCAGGGGAGAGACTGTGAGCAGGTAATGGACGCTTCAAAAAACCTGAAGTCAATAGACCGTCTGTCCTCCGAGGGAGACCGGATCCTGGACCCTTCTGACAAAGGAAGTGTCACTGTGGATGCTCTGCGGACTCATCAGGCAGAAGGCGTGAGTTTTCAGAATGACCGGAAGGACAGTAGCAGTAGGACGTCCCCCAGCAGTGCTCCCCAATCTATCCTGACCCTGAGAAGTCACCTGAGACCCAGCAGTCTGCTGGTCAGAAGGAGGATGGTGGTGGACAGCGAGACGTTCCCGGGGAAAATGAAAGGTGGTTACAGATCCAATGTTCTCGACATCGATGCCCTGATGGCTGAGTACAAAGAACAGTCGACCAAAGTCCCTGGGGAGGCCTGGCAGCAGAGGGACAGTCCCACTGTGGGGCTCAGCAGCTCACCTCGCGAGACACCAGGCTGGTCCAGCAGGGTGGACAGGGGAAGCAGGAGCCCTAAGGAGACTCCTAGTAGGGAGGCTTCCCAGAAACAAGCCAGCATCAGGGATCCAAGCCTCAGTACCACACCTGGCTCAGGCAAGCAGCCGGCAGAGACCCTGGGAGTCACCACAACCCCCAAGTCCAGCTGTCCTTTGTGGGCTCTGCCACACACAGCTCCTGCTGACAGATATTCCACGGTGTCTTCCATCCCTGCTGGACCCAGGAAGAAAGTTACGGGAATCTCAGAAAATGAAAACAAGGCCTTTGCTAGCAGCCGTCATGACACAAAGTTTCAGAATTACCCGGTTGAGGCAAAGCCCTCTGGCTGGGAAGATCCAGGCAGTGGAGAGAGACTGACACCGAAATCTCCTGCTGACAAGACTAAAGGGGCCCTACGCAAATCCATCTGGCAGGGAGTGGAGGAGAGCGTGGCCCAGTGGGGTGACCCCCGTCGTGACTGCGGGAGGTCGCCGCTGGACATCAAGAGGACCTCTTCGGAAAGAGGCCTCCCTGCCAAGGTCCGAGAGGGTCTGTGCATCATGCAGGAAGCCAGACAGAGGAGACAAGAGCAGCCCAAAGGGAGGACCAGCCTCCCCGCAGACAGTCTGGAGGCTGGAATAGGACCCTACTGGTGGGAGCCAAGAACTCGAGACAGTCACAAGGTGAGTACGAAGCTTCTTTTCATTTTGTCAAACATTGAACAGGCACCCACCTCTGTGGGCTCAAACCTGTATCTTCTATGGGCCACTTAGGTACATGAATGCGTGCGGTCAAGCTGGGTATGTGACTCTAAGGAGCTGTGGAGATCGGGCCAAACGGTGAGCTCATGCTCCGCAGCAGGGGGTGCCTGCTGCTTGGTTCTGGCTGGTTCCTCACGTGGGGATGGTAGTCCTCCCTCACCAAGAGAATCTGAAAATCCAGATTTTTGTGTGGACATTTTGTGTGGGGATTGTGTATAATCCCCACAGTTCGGAAATGAAGGCAACTTCTTAAAAAATGCTGTTGGGTCCGAGCAAAACTAGCTTGGCTCTGCTGAGCTGTGAGCTGCTAGTTTCCAATCTCCAGCCTGGAGTAATGGTGCTGCTGGGTATCATTGGTAGCATTATGGAGTGCCTGCTGTGTGCCAGTGTGGACGCTGTGTCAAGCTGGCCATTGTGGCCCTGCATCCAGCATCACGCCTGCCATCATGTGAGCTGGCACGAAATGTTTGTGAAGCGAGCAAGCAATCCTACGTGAGTCTGGGGACAAAAGTGAGGTCCCACATGGCGGGACCTTTGCCGCCGCATGTGCTTGAGTGTCAGGTAGGGCGCTGGCAACGGGCATTGCCTGTGTGATCATCTTCCTGTACACGTGGGAAAAGGAAGGCTCCTCAGAGAGGCAGTGAGCGTTAGAACCCGGATCTGGCCTAGTACCCACTAGGCAGGGGCCACTTTCCAAGAGGCCGCACTGGCGCATGGAGAATCCTGGAGGTGGGGAGGAAATTGGAAGCGGAGTGCAGCCTCAGAGGGCTTTTGCCTTCTGTGAGGAGCTGGGACAGCGCAGCCAAAGGCTGCGGTGATGGGCTGGGTGCAGACGTGACGCGTGCAGAATGAGCTGCTGGAGCAGAGGCCCAGGAAGGTGTCTGGGCTCGAGCCACATCCACAGGGCAGGTGTGATCCGATGGGCTGAGTAGTGGAGGTGAGGGAGTGGGCAGGGGCCGGCACGGGCAGAGGCTTGGAGGTGGGAAAGAGCATGGCCTGTCCTGGAGAGCCGCGGAACTCGCTCGGTGGCCTCCTGTGTGGTTCGGCCTTCACAGACCAGGACCTACTCCCCACCTGTGCCGCCTGCACTGTCGTAGTGTTGCGTGCTGCCGGCAGTGCCTGCACCCGGCTGCTGCATAGAGATCTGTGTTTCTTACTGTTCTGGAGGCCAGGGGTCCAGTCCTCTAACCCACAGCCCTGGGGACCTGATCACCTCCCCACACTGCAGCCTGGGCTCAGTTTCCAGGACGGGAACAGGGGAGCTCATTCAAGCCATAGACCAGGCTGGGAGATTACTGGCACCTCACCTCCGAGAGCCTGAGGTTCCGCATTTATAAAGATTAGAGTTCGTTCTGAAAGGTGCTGTGGACATAAAAGAAGGAGGTGATACCAGGGAGACTGTGAGATGCCAAGCTGTCCCAAGGTCGGGAGTGAAGAAGAGTCAGCCTTTGAGCCCAGGCCTCTCCCGAAGAGTTCCACGTCACAGACTTGACCTTTGACCCTCCGATCTGCCACTTGGCCACCACTCCGTCACTTCCTCCTTTACCTTCGGTTTTCCTAACGATGCTGAAAGGGACTCCTGGCTCGAAGCACTGTTGGAGGTGAAACTGAGATAAAGCCCAGTGTAGGTCATGAGCCCCATGTGTTTCCCCAGAGGGATCCCATCTGTCCCCCTCCAGGCTGTTACTGTGAGAACCGCTTAGAGGGAAGCGGCGGTAGAAATGTGACACTCTGTCCCCCAGCACCTCTCTTGGGGCCTGCCGGCCAGGGGAAGCTGGGCGATGTGGAGGGGTCTGCCTTGTCCCCGCAGACTCTGCTCCCTGCCCAGCCCTGGATGCCCGCCTGGCGCTCCCAGACCCTGAACGCTGCTTTCTCCCTGAGGGATCGTGAAGGCTTGGACCAGCGTCCTCTTTCTGTCTTCTGTCCTCCCCTACAGCACTTGCTTCTTGTTCTTTAACCAAACCAACCAAATAAGCAAACAAGCAAACAAGTAAGCGATACAAAATTACAAGATGTTGGTTGTTAAAAATTCAACCCACTTCATTCATACTCCTAGTTCCTCTTTGTTCATTGAAAAGAAAGCTTTGTGCTATTATCTCTTTCTTCTATGTAAGAAGACGAAAACCTCTTTTGTCTCTGAGTGACTACTTTGAAGATGATGATATCCAGTGTATTAACTATTGTTAGTCTCTTATTATTTTGTTATGAAATTTTTTTTTTCATAAAATAAAACTTAAAAAAAATTTAATCCTGCCAGCCTTGGTGGCCCGTGCCTGTAATCCCAGCACTGAGGAGAGGCCTTGAGTTTGAGGCCAACCTGGGCTACATAGTGAGTTCAAGGTCAGCCTGAACTACATAGTGAGACCCTGTCTCAAAAAAGCAAAAAAAAAGAAATTGGATCCTTACAGAAGTATAGAAAATAATGATGCCCTTTGGGAGTGTCCTATATCCCATAGTCAGTCATCAATCATATATATATAAATATAATTGTCACATTTCTCTTCCTGCAAGGCTAGTGAATATACTGGTACAGTTCAAAATATCATAGAAATATGGCAGAGAAAGAAAACCTCCCCCAGTGGAAAGGGATGTATGTGTAGATTGGGGAGACCCCTCCAGGCTCATCAGTGGTTCTTAGCCATGGGAGATTTATTTAGCACACATTTAGCTACCTACGTCCAGGGACATTTTTTGTTGTTGTTGTCACAGCCAGGAAAGAGATTGCCACTGGCATCTCCTGGGTAGGAGCCAAGAAGTTACTCAGTGTCCTGTGCATGAGACAGTCCCCGCCACAAAGGAGGATCCCGCCTCAAGTCTCCACAGCTCAGAGGTTGAGGAGCTCATCCTAGACACAGGTTACACAGGCCATCTGGAAATGTGACAATGATCTAGAGAAAATCTTGCAGTTCTCCTATTCATGGGCCCTCAAAACAGCGTAATTGTGATTAAAATATTCTCCTGTCTCTCCCTTCCTTTCTCTTTTCCCCTAACCGTGTATTGAAACTTTCCCCTCGGCCCTATTGTATTGTTTCATTCACTTTAATTATTTGCTTTAAGTTTAAAAGAATGTTTTCATAAGGCTCCAAAAACACTTCAAAGGTGTAAAAGAAAAAGCATCCCCCCACACCTCCCCCTTTCCAGCCTTACATTCCTCCCCACCCCACAGTTAGTCTTTTTTTTTTTTTTGGTCCAAATTCTTTTAGGGTTTCTTTCTGAAACCACAAGCAAATATGAATGCATATTCTTATTTTTGCCTCCCTTTTCCCTGAGAGGCAGAATTTTGTCCAAGTGGCTGAAACTTGGGTGGCAGGTGGAGGACCACCGTGAATCCTAAACGGTACCAGTGCCTGGGCCTCACCCTCAACCGGTTAGTTCAGACTGTCTGGGGCAGGCTTGCCTTTGGTAGTTTTGGGAGCTCCTCAGAGGATTCTTGAGTTGAGGATCTCTGCTGAACCCACAGATTTTCCACTTGTTTTTTTTCTCATACCATGCTTTTTGGGAGTTCGGGGATTCAGCCCACAGAAAACATCCTTGCTCTTTCTGGCTGCTTGTAGATATAGCACAATTTATTTGGTGGATGATATTGTGATCTTTTGTTATTACAAACCTTGTACAGTCAGCGCCCAGCTTATGATGGGTCCACTTACAGTCTTCAGCCCTGTGATGCTATGAAGGGGATGCCACTCTGTAGAAACTGGAGTTAGAATTTCGAATCTTTTTTTTTTTTGTTTTCTGGTACCGGGAATTGGACTCATGACCTCGCCAAGCTTGCCAGGCAGGCGCTGTACCGCTGAGCTAAATCCCCAGCCCCTGGAGTTAGAATTTCGGACTTTCCTCGTTTCCCAGGCTAGTGGTCTGCGGGGTGATTCTCTCCCGTGATGCTGGGCTGTGGCAGTTCCTGCGGCGGGGGCAGGTTCGGTCAGCCCTGATCGCAAGGGGAAACAGCTGATGTTTTGCCAAGGTGGGCTGCCTGCGGAGCTAGAATGTTGGCTAGGTCAGGGTGTCTCCAGTGCATTTTTCACTAAGGATATTTGCGACTTATGATACATTTATCAGGATGTGGTCCTGCTGTGAACTGAGGAGCATGTGTATGTACATAATTTTGCACGCCTGAGGTATAACTGTGGGAACTGTGCATCTGAGTGTGAAGGTGGTGGTGATTGCCAGTGTCCCCTGCAGCAGGACTGCATCTGTTCCCATGCTCGCCTGGTATGTGCTCGAGCGCCCGTTTCAAACCCCCCATCCTGGCACGTTGTCTCAGATTTCTAGATTTCATTTCCCCCACGAGCGCCCTTTCTCCTGCTCTGAGCGAGGGGCATCTTGGCAGGTGTGTGAGGTCTGTGTTTGTGTTGCCTCCCTGTAACTCACTCAGGTTTCACACTGGCCTTTCTTCTGGACTGCTGGTCCTGTCTACCTTGATTCCTTAGCGTTCATTATAAGGCAGCAAACCCTTTACATTTATATGCTTTGATTTCTCCCTGGAAACATCCCTGGATCACATATTGGGAAGATCTGGGATTGAACACTAGCCCCTGTGACTGGACATTCCCCTGACTTCTCTGAGCCTCTGTTTCCTTATGCATGGGATGGGCTGCCTGCCTGCTTCCTGGACTTGTTGGAGATTTATTATGGATGGATGGTCAAGCCTGTGTCAGAACACAGGTCCTGGTGTGAAGGAGGTGTGAGTTTCAGAGGGAAACTCTTTGGGTCTGCTCTCCTGCCCTCCATTCACTTAATACATTTAATAAAGGTGGAAACCTTTTGCTGGGCCCTGTTCAGAGTTCTGAGACTGCTGAGCAAGACCTAGGTGCAGACCTGCCTGTAATCACAAACCATGAGGAATCCGCTACCCATGTAGTTAAAGGGAATACAGTTAAATATTCAAGTCTTGCATCACCCTGGCCACATTTAGGAACTCAGAT